AATTTTGATCATGTCTGGACAGTTATTTATAGGCACAAACTCCCCTCTATTTTTAAAAATCCTTTTCAGAAAATGCTTTGTATCTTAAAATTTTCATTTTTGCTACAACCCATTCACAATGCTTTTATCAGCTGTACACTCCTAAAACTCCCTAGTTATATTTTATCAAAAGTGAAGAAATAATATATAACTTCTTACTCTACAAAATACTATAAAAACTGCACAGAAAGAAAACATGGATAGTTAAATGGATCTTGTTCAGCTGTTCCCAAGCCACTCATCAGGGAAAAAAAACCCTATTTTACAAATATGTTTTTAAACCATTTTTCTTCCCCCTCACCTCTTTTTAGTATAGCAGATTTAATTACTGCATGGCAAGATGATTCATCCATTCCTGGTCCACAAATTCCTAGACTTTATTCTTACACCTGGAATCATGCTTAGGACCTAGATTGTTGTAACTGTGCCGAAGAAGCATCCTAACCCAGTCATATCTTATATACCCTACAGAAGATACCTAAAGAAGTACCTGCCTTCCCTGAAGGGGACCCCTGGTAACTTTTATCCCTCCTTCCCTAGCAGCTCCTGACCTAAGGGGTGTGGAGAAGGCTGGAGGATCAGTGCCTTGGTGTGCACTGGACTCCCCTGGGGACATGAGAGACTGTCCCCTACTGACAGCTCAGCAGGGCAGGAGGAGGTGATGGTGAGAAGTGTCCTGACTCACTGTCTAGAGCATGGAGGTGGCCAGGGTGGGTGTTTCTGTGGAGAACAGGCTCACAGCCTGTAATTCTGGCTGTGTTTGCCAAGGGCAAAGGGTAATTATCTTGCACAAGCTGTTTAGTCTTCCACTTATCTATAGTGTACTAGTGCTATCTTCTGATTCCTTGGGAAGCTTCTCTTCATCAGCAGGGCTTTCAGCTCATTTATTTGAAGTCTGCTTTCTAAAACACTACAAGTGTGCTTCACAACAGGTCAAAGACCATCTTCCCTGCTTTCAGCAATTCCATATTGTACCATAGACTTGAATTACGCAGTCAGTATTTTAATAGGAAATTTCTAGTTAAAAGACTCATTAAAGTGGACATATTAAGTTCTTAAACATTAACATAAGGGAAAAAAAATGCACTATGAATTCTACATCTATTAGCTCAGAATGCCAGGAGTTAGGAAGATCCTTGGTGTCCATTTGATCCCTTCAATTCCCTTGCCTGTGGAGATGCCTGGAGCCCAAATTTCAGAGGAAGGAGTCAAACTCTGCCAGAAAGAGATCTCATCCTTCTGTCTACCATCTAGAAACTAGTCTTAGCTCTCGTGCTTGAGACTTAGCATCCCCAAAGTGTATCATATTAGAAAGGAAGTTCTGCCCTTTCTTCACTTATTCTTTCCCAAAGTCAGTTGTGCATGAGGTGGTACAAACCAGTGACATTGACTGATGAAAGAGTTAATATGGCAATCTGGTAGAGGAAAACCAGTAGAGAGGCTTAGCTTGTCATCTGGAGCAGACAACTTCAAAACAGCCTGAGAAATGGGATTGAAGATGAAGTAACTGGAATAAGAAACACGCTTCCTCACTTTTTCAGTGCAGCAATCTGGAGGCACTGCAGCTGAGCAACTCCTGGCAGCATCCCTGCACATCTGTAGCTTTCATTGAAAAGAAGTAAACAGCATCAGTGAGCTGGAAAGACTGTTTTCCTTACTGACCCCTGCAGCAAATCTGTCCCAAGCTCAAAGGAGAAAAAAGTCTGATGTGTATTTTCCTAGTGGTTGTCTGCATCTGTATTCATTATTCTTTAATATATTAGTGTGTTATGCTTAGTATGTTTGGCTTACTAGGACCAGTTAATGTTCTATTGACTAAAAAAATACAGTAGCTTGACAAATTCTCAGAAATTAACTTATTTGAGAAGGAAGGACAGAATGATTCAGAAAAAGGGGAAGTGGTGCAAGACAGTGCGTATTCAGTCCTCTTTCCAAAAACTTCTTCCCCAAAATGAGAATTGTTGGAGAAATGCCTCTCTCCTTCCCTCCTTCTGCTGATCTCTTCCTTCCTTGAACCAAACTACCGGCTCCGGCAACAAGGCAGCTAATAATAAACTCCTCAGCTGAACTCTAGGAAAGCAGCTTGGTCAAGGCTTTGCCTGCCAAATGCTGACCAACACATGTTCCCAGCTGCCAGCAGTCACTGACTGCTAGCCACGTTTTTTAAACCAGTTATACTTTAGCCTTCTGCCCCTCAGAGTACATTTTACTCCAAACAAGACCTCCCAATTCCAAAGGATGGAGTCAAAGGTATGTGACTCATGGTCCATCTACCATGTCTCATGTCCATGGAGCATACAGGGACTTCTCCAATCACAATATATGAACACAACTGGTCTTGCACTACGACTCCTGAAAAAAAGCCCCACTGCTGTTTTTATCCCTGCCCACACCAACAGGCTGTACAGGAACAGCGCTGGCATTTCTACAGTGCCAGTCAGCAGACATTCAGGACTTCTTTCAAAATTACCTTTTATCAAGGTTTGTGGAATAAAACTTGGTTCTTGCCTTGTGATTCCCCCTTATTGCCTTCTTTTACCAGGCAGGACACAGGGCCAAGAGGGAACACCAAGGCACCAGGAGTAACATTTCCTACTGGTCAGGCAGGAGCTCAGCTGCATTTTGGCCCCAACGGCAACTTCTGGTGCTTCACTTGAAATGCTGACCCAGCTCTCCACTGAGTTTGGAGTCTTTAAAAGTCATCACCTTTCTGTCTGGAGGAGCCCACTGCCAAGTGAGGAAACAGCCAGCACTGCTGAAAGCATGAGGCTCCCTCTCTCTCTCCAGAGGCCGCCTGGAAATGCAGCAGAGACTGCAGAGGTGGGAACTCACTGAGTCAGGTTTTCTGAAGAAGGGGAAATAAACCCTTTAAGGGACACAAAAGCATGATCATGTACAGTCAAACAGCATGTGTGCTGGTGTGTATGGAAACCAGGCCAGCCTAGCTCCTCCCTGAGCTGCCCCGTGATGCTGGGAAAGATGATGAGAGTATGGGAGGAAGTTTGGGCTCCAAAATTGTATGGACAAAGGTGGCTCCTTGGATTGGGGGCCTTCTGAATTACACAGCTCTCACCAGTGTCAATGCTATGGCTTCATGATACCATTCCCCCTTTAGTGAAGGCTGTTGTGTACTGTAGATATTTGGGATACCTTCCTGACCACAGCAATGTTGTTTTCCTGAGGCATGAGGCAGTTATGGTTGGTTCCTAAGGGTGGAACTACCCTAACTCCTCCTCTTGTGGTGAAATCTCCTCCTACCACTTCCAGGCTGCAAGTCCTCTCCTCCCTCCATGCTGCTCCACCAAACATAACAGCACAAGCACTTCTTGAAGTAATCTGTATTTATAAGGGGAGAAATAACTCACCTCACCCCTTATTTATATTCTCACCCCTTATTTATATTTCTCTCCTTATTTATAAAAGTGGAGAAATAACTCACCTTGGTAGCATCACAATACCCAGGAGAAAGAAAGAAATGACAGCAAGTTAGTAGGCAAAACTCCCATCAAGTCACAGCACTCCACTTACTATTGGAACAGTAAGGATAATGGAGTACCCACTCCCCACTAAAATCTTATTCACTGCAAGAGAGTGCTGACCAGGGATAGCCAGGTAGAGGATAACACCAAAGGAAACTATTTTTATAGCTGTTAATGAATACCAATATCTTTTACTTATTTGGAGGTGACAGAAATGAACAATTAGCATTTCTTCCTATTTCTCAAGATGTTTTGCTTTTTTGTTATTCCAGGGCTTAATCCAGAACAACAACAACAACAAATGAAACTAACAAAAGGAAAACAACAAACAAAAAAGGAAAAAAAAAATATGTGCAGCTTTATGGAGGACTTTCCAAGCCACAGATGCTGGCTCTGTGGTTGGCTGATCTATCCAAAATAAAGCTCAACAGCAGGGAGCAGTGGAGTAGTTCAGGGGGTAGAAAAGGTCATGCGAAAGTGATTCCCACCTCCCAAACTCCACATCTCCTTATGCTGCCTTTCCCTGCTCCTTTTGGGATGGAAGGAATTTTTTATGTATTTTTCATTTTTATTTTCAGCTTGCCTTTCCTATCCACTCACCAACTGAGGTCATTGAAAGTGACTCTTGGTGCAGCTACTTTCCCAGGACAGAAAAAATGAGGTGAACTATTATTCTGATGGCTTACGGGTGAAAAGGCACCAGCAGCTTTGATAATGAGCCCCTTTGGCTGTGCCAAGACAGAGCTGGCACTGTGGGAGCTCAGAGGCCACCATGTCACCTTCCCTTGCCACAGGGACAGGCATTCTCCTTCTCTGGGTGAAACTGTTGACTACAGAGACAGAAATGTTTTCCCAACAGAAAAAAAAATCACAAGAACCTTGAAAACAGGGGCCTTGAAGGCTGCTAACCCCTGTGCACAAATGCGTGGTACTACCCTCCTCACATGAGAAGGCCATTTTGGGTGAACAAACATAAAAAATAGAGGAAAGAAAAGGAAAAGGAAAGGAAGTGAGTGACCTCATTTTAATAATTTTTGACATCAGAAGGTATTCATTCCCTTTTCCTTTGAGAGGAATGCACAGCCTATGTCATGGCTCAGCTGCCAGTACAACTTCCGCAAGTCTACAGGAGATGCCATGAAACCACTCTGGGGAAAACCTGCAAATTCAGTTTGGGAGCTGAAGCAATGCCCACCTGGGCAGAGGACATGTAAGACGCATGGCCCCTTTTTTTCACAGCCAGCACATTAATTTCTGTTCAGGTGTGGGCTTCAATTTCCTAAAGAAAGAACTATTTTGGAAGCCTTATGTTTGCCAGGAAAATAAAGCAAGTCTAAACATCACACCTTCCTCTGGGAGGACATTGGATGTGGATGATGGGACTGTACCTGTATGTTTCAATGCTGCAAGCAAAAAAGGTTTTCGTAGCAAGTGTTTGATTTACCCTTTGCAAAAGCAAGCTGAAAGACTGCTGTCACTTACCAAACCTCTTGTAGCCGAAGGACTGCACCTCCTCCTCCTCTGCAAAGTCGTCTGGAGAAAGAAAGACACAGCAGCAGATTATTACTACTACCAATGGTAAAAAATGAGAAGTTTTTACAGGCGCCTGTTCAAATAATGTAACTTTTCTTGGTTTGTTAGGCATGCCACTGCTCTTCCCCTCTGCTGCTCCTATCCCACCTCTGTCTCCAAGTGCAGAAGGCAGTTCAGAGCCTTTGCCCCAGTGAGAATCCCCAGCAGAACTCCAGATTACAAACTGTGCAGATTTATCCCCTAGCAGCCATCGTGAGGCCTGCTTGGCCAGCTAATTGCAGACCAGAGCAGAAATGTTCCTCATCACAATGACAGCCACAATTGTCACCGGTGTGCCACTTGATCAAGCTTGCCTGGGCCACAGGAGTCAGAGGGGATGGCTGTCCATCCGTCCACCGCCTCCCATGCACATTAGCTTGACCTGAAAATGTCAGATCCGATAAAACGTGGGAAACAGAACTGATAAACTCAGATAAGAAAAATAAAAACTGAATGGTGAAGATTGTGAAAGGTCTAGATAGGAATGGCTGAGGTCACTTGGTTTGTTCAGCCTGGAGAAGACTGAGGGGACACCTCACCACAGTCTACAACTTCCTCGTGAGGGGAAGTGGAAGGGCAAACACTGATGATAGAACCCAAGGGAAGGGAAGTTGTGGGGAGGTTTAGGTTGGCTGTTAGAATATCAGGCTCCCCAGGGAAGTGGTCACAGCACCAGCCTGCCTGAGTTCAAGAAGTGTTAGGACAATGTGCTCACATACATGGTGTGATTCTTGGGGCTGGCCTGTACAGGGACAGGAGTTGGATTTGATGATCCTTGAGGATCCCTTCCAACTCAGGGTATTCTATCATTCAATGATTCCATCATGCCTTTTGTTCTTATCTTTGCAGTATGCAAGCAGGAATATGCTAATAATCACAAGGTTATTTTGTCAGAAGCCGAATTTCTCTCCATTTCCTTCCGTCAGCAAAGAAAAAGGTTGGCATCAGCAAAAAAAACACACCCATGACTTTTTTTAAAAAAAGAAAATGTCTGTGTTCATGTGTTCATCCTCCTTGCACAAAGACAGCCCCTTGTTCTGCTGAGTCAGGAAAGGCAAAAGTTCTGCCTCGTCACCAGCACCGGCCCTGTATCAACTGCTGGGAGGGCAGCACGGCCCAGACTGTTCCCCTGCTTCTGTATTTCCCAGAGGGAACAATTAATGAATGGTGAAGGAAAAGCAAGCTCAAAGCAGATAAACGCATGTGATGGAGTGAGAAGTCTGTGTTTAGTTAGATCTTTTTTGCTCACAGACTTACTGCACATGATTGGGCTGCTCTGCATCACGAAACTGGGCTAACTGATGCCACAGCTAACTTGGGACAGCGCAGAGCCTTTGGAGGATGAATTCAAAGGCAAAGATACAGTCTAAATGATTTGTGTGTATGTCTCCAGCAGAAAATCTGACTTGTTTTTCCTTCTGACCTGTGAAATGCCACAGACAGAAGTCTCTGAAGGAGACTGTGCCTGAAGCAGCAGCAGAGTCCATGAAATGTGTAATTTTGCAGAACTTCACCCTTTACTCAGACAGAACAATGGATTAAACAGCTAAAAACATATTCGTCACCAGGTAAGACATTTTGCTTACTGCCAGCAGCACTCCTGTCCATATCTTTAGCTAGACTCCCAATTCAGATGTGCACTTAAGAAGTGGAAGAGTCAGCAGATGCTCCTTAGGCAAAACAAACACATCCTGGTTTTGAAGAGAAAAAGAAACCTTTGAAAAACCAAGCCAAACAAACTCTCACAATTGTCCCAAATGTTATCTGAAGACAAGGCCCCCAAACTAAACATGACAAATACTAATAAACCATAAACAGTCAACAACAAACTTCTCATCCCAGCAGTGAGCTACTCAGGAAAGATCTTCCCCTCTTGCACAAAAGATAAAATGCTGCACAAAATAAGATAACAGCTCCAGAGACCTTAGCTTCCTGCCCTCTCCTTCTATCAGGCTGCAACACAATTGCCTCCTTTGTTTCTCAGGAGTGTAACCTGGTTTATCCAATCTGGATCTGATGTAATACAGCCAGGCCAGCTTTAAATCCTGCAGCTTCATCCCAAACCACATCTCCAATGCCTTCCTCCCAGGCTGACAGATCCTTCCCTAGTTTTCTTGTTTTTCATGCTTAGACCAACAGCATTGGCTTTTACAACTTTAATCACATTTTTGTTTCTTTGGCCATTTTGGTATATGCAACATGTTTATATATCTACATATACATTTCTATACACACATATATTTATATGATTTACAGTATTTGCAATGCTGCATGTTATTCTTTCTAGGGATGGGTTTTTTCCTTAAGCTTTGAGTACATTATAAATTATTCGTTCACCTCCTAATTTTGAAGAGCACTTCTGATATTTGAAATAAAGAAGTGGAGATGGGCAAGGACAGTTATGTCAAGTGGTGACTCGTCTCCCTGATCAGTACAATCTCAAATTTATCATCTCTGTGAGTTATCCTGCAAGAGGCAGTCAATGTAATTTTAGGGGAAGTCTATAAAAAATATTTAACAGACAAAGCTCAATGTTCTTTCAGTCACAATTGCAACTTGTCTGAAATCATGTGCAAATATGGTACTTTAAAATATTAACTGTAATGTAACAAGTTTAAGGGAAAAAAAAAAGATGGAGGAAATTAATAAAGCAAGCTTAGACTAAACATTCAGAAATTACAGCACTTTGGAAAAAGAGACTAAGATGGGTCGAAAGTCCTACCTCAGAAGAAGTCTATGTTTGAAATATTAAAAATTAAGTTAACAAGCAAGCCTATAAATTTAAGTCCCAAGGCAAAGCCCTGCACCCAGCCTGCTCCTCCCATGTGTGTTGGGCAGTATTGTCCTTAGTGCAGGCAGCAGAAACTTGATCCTCAGCTCCCTGTTCCAGTGCTGGAAATATTAAAATTGTGTCACAAGTTCTACAAAAATCTCAAAGCTTCTGAATATCTTCAAATCAGCAAAATACAGGAGAACCCGAGTTTTCATTTAAAAGGTAACAACTTTTCTAGTGAAAACTATGAAAATGTGATCTGTTATGAATTACAGAGGTTAAGAAAAAATACACCAAGTAAGAAGGCAAATACTATGAACACCTCCAGTATGTTTTAATGACTTAAGCTGTTAAAGGCAATATAATTGTGGCAGAAATTCATGAGCTTTGAGCACCAGTGACTGATCTTAGAAATGGAAATTCTGCAATTTCACATCAACAGTGCTCACACTTGAGTGAGTGAGTGAGTCTGCAACTGGTGTATGAGGGGTTTGCTGGACATTGTGAAAGCCTTAAGTTAGAAAAATTTTTCTTTAGTTTAAATCCAGTCCTCAGTTACAAATAGGCATTAATATGAAGGCAAGGCTTATTTTCATAAGTGAAAAATATGAAGGCAGACTCCTCCTTGAAGCAGACAATCAAGTAGAATTTGTTGTTATGTCCAGGTCACAAGAATTAACTCTTTAGTATGGGGAAGACTAACCCTAACTCAACTGAATTAAGACACTCAACTGAGCTCTCAGCTGTGAACCAAAATCCAGAAAAGAAAGATGAAGAAACTTGAAAATCTGGTCTCTTATTCCACTGACTTGTACAGAACTCTGGCAGCAGGAAGGTCCATAAAAAAGGTGAATTTTGGGCAAAAGCATATGTGAGCAACCAATTACATTTAACCATGTAGGAGAAGGGCCACTGGAGATCTCCTGTTTTATTGGATTTACAAGAGCCTCCTTGAATGCTAGAACAGATTGTCATGGGGATATTACAACAAACTGCTAAAAATCACTGTCTCACTGTGGCTGAACAGCAATACATCAAATGTTTTAAGGAGTCAGTGCAAAGTAGGAGTTCTGGTCCAAAAAAAAGTAAAAAACAAAACAAAACAAACAAAAAACCCCCCCAAAAAACCCTTTGAGATATTTTGGCAATACCCATGCTCCACTGAGTACCAATGCCAAATTCCACTTGCCCTCCAGTTATAACCTATTACTGCAACACCTCTAGTAAATACAGTTGTAGAGTTAAGTAAGTTACAGTGCAATGCTTCAAGGGAGTGGGAATTGTGAAAAGGCAGTTCAGCTGGGGATTAGCACAGCGAACAGAGGGAATTCATTTAATCTAAAACAAATTAGACTCTCATTTGATTTTTGCTAGTGGCAAAGCAAATCTGTGGAGTAGAACTGTTTAATTTCTTGTTCTTAAATCTTAAATAAATTAATCATGGATCACTTGTGAGTCACTCTGAGGTCAAGTAAGAAAGAGCTGGCCTAGAGCCAAAATGAATGCTAAATCTGCCCCTGAGACAATATAGGGTATAAAACCACAGCACCAGATCTGAGGAGCCTTTGGTGCAAGGTGGTTTTAGGGAAGTTGTTTCCATTTTAGCCCCTTCCTTTCATGGGTGTCATTGTTGGCATATGGAAGGTGTTAAAGAAAGCTGCTAATGTACGTGTCCAGCTGTCTCCTTTTAACAGTACACCTTGCTCAGCCATTTAAACCTAATTAACTAATGAGGCAAACAAGATCTCAGAACCATTAGAGATGCTGGGTCATATGGTGGCTGCAGACATGTGGTGTCCAATAATTTTGAGAGCACTTGTGTGCTGTAAACATGGATACAAAGTCCTTGTTTAAGGACCTCATCTGAAGTCTTAAATAAAGAAAAAAACCCAATATTTTACATTGCATTTCCAAATCTGGGAAAGTATATTCCAGGAGAGAATGAGGCATCTGGGCTGAAAATTGTCATGCCAAGTTTCAGCTCGGATTTTAGAAGTTTCCTTATAACCCCCTGAAAACTCAAATTACAGTACATTAGAACTTACTCCTAACTACCAGGCTGGGAACTCAGACTGTAAGATTAACGTGTAGCAAAAATGACATACAGTGTAAGAGTTTCCTCTAAAATAAATTTCTCTTTCAAAGGGCTTTAATGGTTAGACCCCTGCCTTTTCTATTGACTTAATGG